TGGCCTTCAAAAAGTTGACGACGTTACAATGTCATCCTCAGGAAACACGTAGAGTCGTCAACTTTTTGAAGGCCATAGATAGGCCTAAATAAAATGTTTTTAATTGTGTACCTGTTTAACGTTGAATATTATTTATGATTTTAACTTTATACACAAGTGCTTTATACAAAATACTATAATTGTTTTTTACTGTATTTAAATTCTTTATTGTAACCTAATGTTATGTTTTTTTTTTATTGTCCTGCTTTGTAGTACCAAGTTTACGTACATATAGGCCAGGGAAACTTTTAGTTACAGAAATTTGGTACTTACAAAACTATTGTCTGTCCAATAACCAAAATTTAAATGATTCAACAAAATGTTTATATTTTAAGTTTCTGATGTTTATTTTTTCAAATGTAAGACCATTTAAGTTTCCAATTGTAAAAAAAACAGTTTATTAACATTATTTTTGTACTTTTTGTGGTTAAATTTGAGCACTGCAAGTATTAAAAATGTGGGGAATTTAGAAATATCTGATTTGTATTGACCACTGATGGCAAATTAAAAACAAATTTGAAGAATTTGAAAGTATATTTACAAAAACATAAAATATGTCTTAAACTTCCAAAGTAAGTAAGTTTTAGTATTGACACAGATACAGGATTTTATTATTGGTAACACAGAGTAAATACTATTTTGTTTATGTGTAAAAACATAAATTTATATAATGGTTAAAGGATAAGGAAATGGCTACAGTGATAGTTTTTACAAATTGTTTAAAGTTAGTTTTAAAACTTTGCTTCAATTGATCTGGTTTTTCCTTTGTATTTATAATAACTTGTCTTTGTGTTATTTCAACTTTTGCTAACCACAAATTATTAAAATTAAAAACTTACTTACTTTATTAAAAGGAAACGAGCAGCTATTGTCAAGGAAAAAGAAACAAGCAAACATTTGCTTTTGAAAGGTCATGAAGAAAGGTTAGCCCAGGAGACTCAAGAGCAGAAATCATAGATTTATGCCAATTTGTACAGTAGAAATGTTTTACAAGCTGTTATCTTATGTTTCACACTTTAGCTGTAGAAAAATATAAATGAATAAAAGTAGTGCAAGGTTAAATCAAGTTATTTAGAGGATTTCTTACATTGCACAGAGATACATATACTCCTGCATTTTTGTTTACTTATGAATGTGGATATATTTTACAATGTATCTTGGTGCAGTTTTTAGTTAATCATCATAAGAGTTGGTTGTTATCAAGCTTTCCAGCAAGATCTAATATTTTTTTCTTTTTTTGTGAAACTTACCTAGTGACATAAAAGCTACATATAGTGATATCTGTGATTAACCTAGCTTGGTTTATGAGAGTTGAAATAGCTCAAAACTGTAGTTCCATAGTATGGGTTTTATTACATAAGAGTTATTGTGTTTTCATGTTATATTTAATACTAACATTAGGTGGAAAAATCCTCAGCATCAACCAACTGAAAGATCTTGTTAATTTTTTTTTGCCACGAGAGAATAAATGAGTGTTTAGGCATAAATTAGGCCAACAGATTTTGCATGTAGCCATTTGTGAACTTAAAAAGCCAGAAGTACTTAAACATATAGAACTCTAGACTAACAAAAACACTTATAACCCTTTACAAACAAAGGATTTATAAGTGTCTTTGTTACTCTCTTTTATTTATGTTTAAACTCTAAACTAAACTATGGTGGTGGCCATTCCCCAAGTTAAATACAGTTTAAGATTTTCCAAAGTTGCTTTTATACACACTCTCTCTTCATTGTCATCCACATAATCACAGTCTTGATTCAAATGCAAGTAGGTGTTTGAAGAATTACCAAAGTTTGAGATGTTATACGCTGTTCGAAGCAACACGTTATTGAACCCACAAATCTCGTCTGTAACAAGAATAAATGTATTGATAAACGATGAGAACATAAACATTGATTTAAAAAAAAAAGAGTTCACTTGTTCTTTTTCTTTATAAATGACAAAGATGTCACCAACATACCTATGATATTTAACAGGTTTACAACTCTCAGGACATTGTTTTTGATAATAACATAAAAACAAGGTACCTAAACCAGGAGCTCATTTTGAGCACATAGCATTGCCATCTGTTTGATTATAAGCACAATTATTAAACTAAAAATGAGTTTTTCTAATGTCAAAATTCAATAAAAACTGATTTTTTCAGGCCTTGTACAATTGTATCATTCTTAAAAACCAAGTATGCTGCCAATTGAAAGGGATATTAGTTTATGGGGATTTAATATTAAAGCTTGCACAATGGATTAGTTCATTAAATCATAAAATTGTTTATAAATCTCAAAATATACTCACTATTTTCAACTGTTTTAAGAAAAAGAATTAAAAACTATGCCAGTTTCTGATTAGAGATACATATATTTGAGATTATTGGCCTGATGAGATCATTATTTTTGTGAATTTTCAATAAGCCATACAAAACACCACAGTGAATAGTCACTAGCCAAATATCTTGGTAATTAATCTCTCTTTTTTTTCTGGGATTAAGTTTTCCAAATTTTGTTTCATCAGATTATTACAAGCACTTTACTTACATAATCATCTCTATTTTCTTATCATTTTAGAGTCCCATTTAGAAACTTTGTTTTAATATCATAATCTTTTAAGAGAAAACTAATTACAAGACAAAATCCTAAAAATTTAAGAATGGTAGGAAAACAATTCTTATTCATAAAAACTTAAAACTAAAACCTCCTACTCTAGATATTTCTTTTTTGACAAACAATCTTTCTTTATTCAACCATCATTAAATGATTACATATGTATGGTACAGATTTCTTTTCAATTTCACCAAAGGTAAAACTGAAAGGAGAATCTGTGATGTAGAGGCTTAACATTTTCTTTGATTGGCTGTACCTTCTGCTGTGGACTGCAGTTTTGCCTATTGAAAATTTGAAGGCTCATCAGCAAAGCTTGGGATAGCAAATCAAAGTAATAGTTAGGCCTTTTATAACGGTGATTTGTATACAACAAAAACAAGCGTCATTAAAGTATCACAAGCTTTCAGCACTTACTAGAGCTTCAGGTGAAGATCATAGACTTTTTTTTTCTTTTATTCTGAAAATGTAAGTTGAGCTTACTTATGGTGAGTAAGGGACAACTCTAACATTATTCACAGAATCCTGTTATACATTGTTGCTTCTGAATGATTTCCCTTCCTCTTCTTAAGAAATAAGGTAAGAATAATTTTTAATTTCTCATTGTGTTAAATGTAACAGTGAGCATTTTTATTACAAGACATTATCATCACCTGTGGATGCTTGTAATGGCAGACATTTATTATAACCTTTTTGTCAGATACTGTATTTTTGGAATATATTTTATTAACAGAAACTAGTTTAATAAAGGTTTATGGCCTAAATATACTTCCGAAACAAGTATTGTTAAAGAGTGTAGGGATTATAAGTAAAATTACAACAATATGTATTTTTTTTATGGTTAAACACTGATCAGGGGAGAAAATGTTTTCAAAAAAGTGGGTAATTGTATACAACTGAGGAAAAGCTTACACTATATTCGATGACGAGGAACCCACTTTGAGACTAATAATGGCTGGAGACGGCTTAAATGGGTAATGAAGAAAAACTTTAATATAAGTTTAACATGACAGCAAATGTACAACGTTTCGACAAGGTTTTGTCATCATCAGGTACCTCTAGGTATACAGATACTCTTCGTAAGACATTATTATTAGGCCTAACTACAACTGTTCTTATATATATGCTTT